GATCTAAGTTTCCCAGGTCTTCGCTTTGATGTCAGGCTATGCTTGGAATGGCCATGGTTGTGTTACGCTCAACTGCCTGAAGCTGACAGTGCGACTCTTCAAATGTTCTGCCGCGGCCGTGAGTGCAAACACGAGAAAAGCCTTCGTAACTTGTAAGTTAAGCTGCTGTTGAGTTGCAGTTTATGATGGATATTGAGCTGTGAACCATATAACAGGTCAAAAAAGATTGCTTGTTCGCCTCTGCAACCGTTGATTCTTCCTGAAATATGCCGATGCTGCAACGCTGAACTGTTAGCGCGAACCCCCAACCCAGTCTCTAAGTCATGTTGACATGCAGTCTGAAGTTCTCGGAAACTTCAAGAGGACCGAAACCAACACTTCCAAGCAGTAAGTCCCAAAGACCTTACACTTGACCCTGACCCCTAGTCCCTCAAAACTGAAAACTTGAACTTCAATGTTCGCACAATTGATCTCTCTCACACGAAGGCTTCATTAGTTAGCCTAGCCTATGGCCCGCCATCCTGGGGTTAAGAATCACTCTCCTCATGCCTTACCAGGGCAACTCGGAATCTCCAAGCATAGGCGCTCACTTCTTCTACAAGGAACACCGGAAAATCATAACATTCTTCATAGGACTTACAAATTCGTCTGTTAAGTCGTTGCGTTGCGGCTGCTTGTCCTTGCCTACTGGCTTCCATTGTTCAAGTATCTTACTTATGATACGCTTATCTCTCCCTCTCTCTCTCTCTCTCTCTCTCTCTTCTATGGCATGAAAGTGCAAGATTTAGACCCTCTCTTTCTTTCTCTCATAGAAGTCCTTACGCTTGGTTTCGGCGTGTGCTATCAGACCAATGCTGCCCACCACGCGCCTGCTTGGCAAGCATGGAGAAATGCGGGCGTCAGCTTCAGCCGCCAACATTATAAACAAAACTTGATCGTCGAGCTAATCCACGGCGTTCCAAATGTGATAACTACATTGGGCCCTGAAGTCTATAAGCGTTACCTACACTGGAACCCTACAGCTCGGAATACCGGTCAAGTCATGCAACTAGGCGGCACCACACACTTCAAAAAACTTTGGTTTCATCCGCCGTTGCTTGCTCAAACCTCACCGCCGCAACCGTTGGAAAAGGCTCGATGCCGTCAGGCTTAAACTGAGAATGCCCATTTGCCGTATTTGGGAGCTGATGCTACCGAGGCACCGCATTTTGCTTAAAGCCCAGGGAAAAGGCCTTGCGAAATGCGGGACAAAAATTGCAGTTCTGACCATGTCCCACCTCGAGTAGTACACGCTATAAGCTTGCTTATGCCAAATGCAAGCTGCACATGCTGCCTCGGGTTGCTGCATGATGAACTTGCACCAGCGCGGGTCCTGGCACTAAGACGCCCAGCCATCTCGCATGATGACATACGCCAGTTATCTAGCATCTTCCGAACGACCTACGAAGCGCACGTCAGGGGTTCTAGGCCGTGACCAGCTTGGCTGCAACATGGACAAAGGCGGCTGAAAGCATGAAACAATTAACTGAACGACCACCAAACGCAATGACTTCACAATTTGCCTCACTGGATGGAACCCGTACCATTCGGCATGACCAACTCCTCTATACCCCGAGAACAGAATCAGATTGCATGCCAAGTTGAGACGGTGCTGTCACCTATGACCACTCAAGACAATACAGCATCCGTTCAGGTTCTCTCTGTGGGAGCTTTGTTACAAAAAGGTCCTCAAGTACCCTCGCTAGATAGGGCGTACCTGCGGCGTATAGCCGCCTATGCACGGCTACTTTCACCACTCATTTGACTCCCGGCATGCGTTGAAAGTTTCCACATCTCCTCCGCCACAACCTGAGGAAGTGGAATGCCTTTGTGAATGCCATTGAAGTAGACGACTGGTGTGCCCTGTCAGTATGACTTCTCACAAAGCGCAATGGGGGTTAGCTCTATAACTCAAATGCTTGTAAGGAGATGCATTGGCCGGAACAGAACGAACGAAAGAAGCTTGCAGATGCAAAGAAGCACATGGAAGCCCTAACTACGCCAAACGCTATGTCGTATGCCCTGCCTGAAGGTGCTGTGCATGCTGCATCAGCCAGGCAGCCTGTACTTTCAACCCAGGTCTGGCATCCATCTCCTCCAATGCATTGTTGGAATTGTGAATTTGGAGAAGAAAAATGACACAGGATAACCTGGCTGTTCACTTCCGCAGTCTACCTGAAGGACATGTATGATACCTATACGCTTGAGATCAACACAGTGGCTCTTACGAATGCGCAGTCTACATTGACGTAAACCCCTCATGGTGTGGTATCCTCAGCCTTTCGAAGAACCCATTGGCAATAGGACGGGTCTTCCGTCACAACCTCTGACAGCGGCCGGCCAAGATGGTGTGGACCTGCTTCGAAAATTTGGCGGTACACAGAGATCCCAAAACTTGTTTCCTCCGCTATTGTGCCTTCGTGCTCCCCCAGATAATCTCGAATCACAGGTCTTCACCGTGAGAAGCCCCAGCTCGTTCTGAAGTCACTGCAAGCTCCCAAGCCTGATGCCCGCACGGTCTGGCCCTATCAGAATCTGAAGACATGATGATGTTTGGCGAAAATTTGGGGAATAGTCCAGAGATGTCTAGAATGTGTCTTGCTAGAGATGCCAAGATGCACTGTCAGCTGAAACTGCACAGTACGTGCCTGAATTAATTACTTTTGGCGGGGCGCATAGCTTGCGAGGTCGATTTGGCTTGCTCATGTTTACACCCCTGCTCCGAACAGTCGGCACCGACCAGCTGTTGGACAACAACTGCAACGATGCTCCAATTCAACGCGCGGTGGCCTGGTTGCCTGTACACAACAAGAATCCCACAATGTCTTGCACTTCCCCTCACATTAAATACTGTACTCACTTGAGTCACTCGACTGTTGTTGTACCATGCTAAGCTCCCTGAAGAAGCTCCTGACATATCATGCGCAAGATGAAACAAAGTCGTCCTTCAGGTTGGTCGCATTCTCTGCCAGCCAGGCAGCCATGTCCCTCATATTGCATGACGCATCCTCGTCCTTGACAGGAAGCTAGCGAACGACTTGTTTATAGTGTTTAGTTTGGGAACCTTGATCCAATGAGCTTGCGCTTCTCTAATCTAGCAAATTAAGAACATGTCCGCCTGCCGCTTCCATGACTTGCGGCAACCCCTCAAGAAAAGCTTTCCAATGTTTTCCTGGAAGCCTTTGCAGCTCGGATGATCCATTGGCAGTACCAGGGATCTTCACGTAGCAGCTCGGATATTTGCTTTCCAGCATGCTTTCCGCCTTGGCATGGTGATGGAGCCCTGAAGACGTCTGGAAATGAGCTCTGTCTGAAAGAAGCTGCCCGAGCGAACCGCAAGAACACGCCAAATCAAAACTCATTCCAGCGCTGAAGATGCCTGACCCACCAAATTACATCGGGCACCTCAAACACGTGTTGAAACATCAGCTGCATGACCTCATGCCCCACCTGACCCTTCCGAGCACCCGTCCTGCTGCAAGCGGTTCCTTCTCCTTGTAGGGGTGTCGCAACACTTAGGGAAAGCACCAGCTGCTTACTGACACAGAAGACTCACTCAGAGCCACACCAAATCACCAGGTTGCTTCCTAGGCCAAACCCGCCTTCAGGTGCGGCGCATTTTCCAGCAGCCAGGCAGCATTCCGCCGAAGACTGGGGGCTGCTTGTGTCTCCTTGACAGCGCGGAATCTACTGGCCTAAAGCTGTACAGGCACATCCCAAGATTTTTGCAGTGATTTTACCTTGGGCTGACCGTTCGAGTCCTGCTACTATACATCATGCAGATGCCCGTCTCCCCCCAACCTTCTGTATGGGCTTATGGCTGCCTGCCCCTACCTCAGCCCTGCTTCACCTATTTGCGCTGGGTCCGATGCGCGCTTGATTACAGATACGCACAGATGAATAGCATATTGGAGACCTTGCTGCCCCTCCCCCATACTAGCACGCCGACAAGTCCTGAGCTGTATGGATCATCCACCTGCAGTATTCCGGATCGTCTACCACAACCTCGCTGAGGGGCCGCCCGCGGTGCTTCATTCCTGAGCGAAAGAAGACGCAGGATTGCGGAAAATGCTGATGGTACCCTCTGCTCTTCGTATTGTCTTTGCACCGCTGAGTCCTGCGAGAAATGCACAAAGCCTGTGCTTCCGTGAAATGAAGCCAGCCACAGGGGCAGGGGGGTCAAAACAAAACCAAATAAGAATCGGACATCGAAATCGGGCATCAACAAAAGATCAAAACAAAGACCACAAAAACCAACATGAGGGAATCACTGGCCTCTACACGAGAGCTCTATTCTCCCAAGGACGTACTACGCCAGAGGGGTGTCAAAGAGCGCCGGGGGGGGGGGGAATGGAGAGCAGCCCTTTGCAAAGCATTTGAGGAACAGGATGGAAAATATGAAAACACCAAAAGTTGAAAACGCCCGTAAAAATCAAGAAAACATGGATATGTGAACCTCAATCCTGCACACTTTCATGAAAAAAAGGTGCAGATGATAAAAGAGTCATGACCAAGCCTGAAAGCTGATGAATAATGGTTAAAACGGTGAAACGCGATGAAAGAGTACAGCAAAATTGTGGGAAATGATGAGCATGTGCAAATATGACGAAAATTGACGAACAGGAAGAAAAACGGCAGACAATCAAAGATGCTGACATATGATGAAGCCTGTAAAAAAAGACTGGAACATAATGAAGCATGACGACCTTCCTTCCTTCCTCCCTCCTCCCTTGTTCTGTACTTCGTTGCTTCTTCCTTCTTTCCTTTCTGCCTTGGGTTGTCCTTACTTGTGCTTTGATGATCTGGCGGCGTGAGGGGAGTTTCTTCTTGATTTCTCTTCAGTCGAATATGTTGTTTTTGATCATTTTGGTACGTCATTGATCTTTTTGATTTGTGTTGAGTCTTGATTGATTTACTGACCCACAGCCCAGCCACAGGCCTGCAACCACCGCCGGTGTCTTGTGCGTGTTCCCAAGCTCATGAAAAATAATCACTGTCGTAGATATGGCCATGCAACAGGCGAAAACCCAATTCACAGCACACCCAATGAGCCCATTGAAGTCAAAATCCGCAGGCGCGCTCCATGTCGCCATGAGCGCCTTGCGTGGAAGCAAGGCAGCGGATCTGCAACCTTGTCCAGTCAAATTCGTGTTTACCAAATGAGCCAGTCTAAACTCTTAACATGCCCCTTAATAAGCCCTAAAATAGTCTCCTATCCTAAGTGGGTCTTGAAAGGTGAAATTGCAAACTATGGTGTTCGCCGCTGTGCCGGCCAACGAGTGTAGGCTCAACAAAACAGAGCAAGCGGCTAAAGGATCAGAATGGTGCATTCCGAGCGGCACCGACCTCCTCGCGATGATCCTCTTCTGCGACGTCAGATTGCATGTGCGCAGCCTGTGCAGGAAGATCCTGGGCAAGTCTTGGCTTCTTAGCTTGTGAACACCAAAGGGGTACAGCTGCGAATTGGAAATCTGGGGGATCACGGAGCATCAGGAAAACAACTCTTACTCAAAGTCAGACCCAACAATTCTGAAAGCATGTTTCAACATTGGTTTGGGATCCAGTTTCCTGGTGAAAGCGGCCTCCAAACTGGCAACACAGAAGGTATTGATCCGTGTTGGTGTCTACCAAGGCCAGGCGCTGCGTGCTTCAGACCACTACTTGTATTGCATTCCTTTTGACGCATATCATTCATATCCCCCAAACCCGAACTGTGCTGCCCGCAAGTCTCCGCATCTTCAAGGAGCTTTGGCCGGCAGTCGATGAAGTCAGCAGAAGCGTCGAGCGGCTGGCGCATGGTGCTCGAGCAAAATGCACCGGTGCAGTATACGGTCAGCACATGCAAGAGTGTGACTGCTGAACTGAAAGCGGATATCTTGGTCCGGATGAGGAATCCTGTGTTGACATTGCGATGGCGTCAAGCGAGACCTTGCCCTACCGTCCTGCCAGCAAGAGCAGGATGCATGTGACACGTTTTAAGGCCTACAAGTTTCTAATTTGCCCAAGAAGTGGCAGCAGAGGATTATCCAACTGACCAGGGACCAGGAAGAGATGGGAATGCATGTGATAGTACGCCTCCATGGTTTGCTCATCTAGCAACTAAAACCACCCAACCACCCCCCTGGATGAAGCCTTGCGTTTTGTCGACCATCCACTATCTCAACCAAGCCTTCCAAATCCTCATGCTAACGACATTGTGGACAGCACGCGAGTGTTCGCTCAAGTGCTACCTTCATGCCCGTTCGAATTGTTGTGCAGCATCATGTCCTAGCTGCATGTTTCACTCCCTCTGCGGAATGGTTGCAACTCGCTAAACTAGCACACCCTGCATGGGCCTCAAAAGAACCTGCAGATAGTCCTTCAACTTCGGGGATTTTTTTTTGACGTAGCTGTGAGCCCCCTTGACTTCGCCCCCACACCTGTACAACAATTGAAAACGACAGCATGCTTGATGCTGCTTTACGAACACAACAGCTGAACCAGCTCGGACGAGCACTGACACAAACAGCGTCTCGCTTGAGAATATTTGCTTACACCTTGCTGATTGAGAGGACTGCGGACCAAGTCTGACGCTGTTGGATGGACCAGCAGCAGTTCTGTTGCAGCAGCTGTGTTCGTTCCCTGGACTTGCGGACCCTGCCAGTGACTCCGGCTAAGTAGACAGGGCCACCTAGGTTCAGCACCCCAGTCCGCTCCAGCATTTGATGCCTATATGGCTCGTAACAAAGGCTAGTGGACAAAATAGTGAAGCCCATCTTCATAAGAACTGCTTATGCAGAATGACCCAGCGTCATGGCTACCGGCTTGCGGCAATGGCCTACAACGATCCATCTACTTCCCTCCCGCAAGCCTTGATGTCAAGGCTCACAGCGCTGTTCACTGGGCCTTTGAGCTTCTGCTTCCGAGGGGCCTCGCCTGCGTGCGTTCGGAGTTCCAGGTCTGAGGCGCGTTTCCTCATGACTACATACAACTAGCGAGAGAGCCTCTTGGACGACTGGTCAGATTTTGCAGGAATGTGAAACCAAACCGACTCTTTGTTTGTCATGCCTCAGGCGGTCCAGAATAGGCAGGCATTGTGCGACCTTCGTCTGCCTAAACCCCACACCCTGCACACGCTTGAACGGCGAATGCCAAACAGCAGTCGATCCATCCCACAAGCCTGAAAACTCTACGTGACAGAAAGATCTTGAATCAAACAGCTGCAGCCGACCTAGACTCGGAAGCCTTTTCCTCACCAGCTGAAGCATTCTGAGGAAGGTGCCCCATGCTAATCAAAAATGATCAAACATCGAAACCCGTAGGGCACACCAGCACATGCCGAATGCAACACAGTTCTCAATACAGCTACCGTTGGCAGGTAGCTGGCGCCTGATGAAGCCGTCGCCTGCTCCTTGCGTTTCATGGGGCAAGAAGCACTGCATCTTCTGCACCGGGCTATGTGAGAGTTTATGAATGGAGTTGCACTTATGCTTAGGAACCATGGGGTATAGGATGGCTGCGCGTAGCATGACTTCTTGGCCAGGTTTGGTGAGACATCAGTTGCACGCCTGCGCTATCTTCGTGCTGTAACAAGTATGAAAAGCTTGCTCCAGACAGCCAATATCAACACTGCGAATCCTTGCTCTGGCGCTGCTTCGCGAAGGATACAAGCAAGTGCTTGTTCTTCTCCACGGCTCCGTGCGTAGATTCAAGGCTTGGCAAAGCCGTA